AAAACAAAACCCTGCCACATATGCTGACTTTACTTTAGTCATTTTAACATGAGCATCCGTTATTTTAAATCTGTGACAGAAAATAATGAAAAGCATAAAAGTCCAGTTTAAATATTTCCAGATAAACACGAAGAAAAAGAACATCCTAATTGTGAAAGTGGTTAAAGTTAAATGATGGTGTTATTTACCTTTCACTGCTACGAAAACATACTAAAGAAATCTGTTCAGCTGTGAACATAAAAACCAGCTCGGTGGCTCTTCGTGTTTCTTCACTTTAATGTCACTCATCAAACACTTTTCACGCAGCTCTTTGTTCTCATTAAATGTGTTTTTTCTGTCATTCCTTCTTGGCTGTAGTATGAAAGACAACTATGTATCCTGACACACCCCAGATAAGGGGACGCACATTGCAGGGTAGAGGGGAGTGTCCCCCTGTCGCCTCCCTTCAGCAGTCAGGAATGCTGTCTGTGACGAGCTCAGACATTCCTGCTGCACCTTTAATCATATGATTAACCAGTGATTGACATTTGTGGTCAGACATGATGGCTTCCAAAGGAGCATTGATGCAGGAGGTTAAGATCTAGGAGGGTGTTGTTTTCATTTCTTGCAGGGTAAAAAGAGTTTGGATTAATTTACTCTGTCGCATGTCTTTAATCTATATTTAATTCATATAGTAAAAAGAAGAGCAATTTCAACAGTATGTCTCAATTTTATTTTATTTTATTTTTATTTTTTTTTATTTTTTTTTATTTATTTTTTTTTTGGGGGGGGGGGGGGGGTGATTTTGCTTGGCCAGTGCTTGACAGCCCTGCCATAGCTGCTCGCTTTATATTAAAAAGCACTTCATATTTCATGGTTTCTTTTGATTATTTTATTATATTTGAAATTGGTATCAGTAAGAATTTATCCCTTTTTGTTTTTACATTGCCAGCTCTTTATCATCATGTAGTTATGTTATTGGTCAATGATTAAAATAAATAAATAAACTGCAGTCCTGTTTAAAACAGCCACAGCTTAATTAACAGTTGTCTTAACTAAAATTACATAAATATATACAACAACGATTT